TTATTTTCAGATCTGTATCTAGTTAAATTTTTAGATACTTTAGCAAAACATGAAAAACATCGTTTTTTTTTCATGTTTTTCAACCGTTTTCATTACACATATAATTTACAAATATCAACTTAAACTTAAATTTCGTAAATTAATCAAACAAATTATTTTGCAACATTATATTTCCAATTTTATTGACATATAAATATAATTCGATATTTAAAGCGCGTGTGCGCTGAATACGTTCCAGATCGTAAACATCATTCTCTTTACTGCGATATGTTCCACCACAAAGATCGTGACTTCGACTGGGGCTTCCGTCACGTCAGCAACGTCTACTAAATCGAAACGCGTAGGTCTTACCCACAATAACCCTAATAATCAAGAGCAATCAAGAGGTACTCAAACTATACCAAGAATCCCGTCGCCTCAGGATATTAACTTGAGATTATCGCCTCATTATGGAAACGTCAAGGTATCAGTTATTCAGAAAGTGCCTAATACCGGGACAAATCACGAACCTGGTTCCCATGCATATGGCAGCGTGCCAAAGCGGCCGCTTTCCTACGTTGCTCCATCCATCCACCAGACAGAATCTCATCGGAGCAATTCGTTGACTCCGTATTTTGATATGTTAAATAATCCCGATGGTTATAAAGCTGCAAGGAGCATCGAGGAAGACGCGTCCAAATCGATCGTGTCGCAGTCACATCAAAAACTGCAGGGCATCTATTCGCCTAGCTACAATGCGTTCTATCAGGAAAAACCAATTGAACTATCCAGCTTTTCCGATTTCGAATATTCCCCGCTTGCCAATATTGGCAAGCTTATTCCCCAAGGCGTTTCTTCTCTCACTGTCCAGGCGCCAGTGTATAAAATGAGTTATCCACTGCCAAAAATTACCGATTACGCGCCTGTGTACGCACCGAGCATTCCAACCGCGTCAAGCATTACTCCGTCATCGGACAAAAAAACCCAGAGCCCTAGGCAAAAAGATGAAGCCATTGTAGACATGAACGGCAAAAAAATCTCGGTCCCAATCATTCGACTTCAAAGCAATTTAGATCTCTCAGAAGTGCCCACTTTCGAAAGTCAACCGTTTTTACTAAGTTCGAACTATCCAATCGAATCGGATGTGGGATTTAAATTTGGAGCCGGGCCAAAATCGAACTTAGCACTTCAATCAAGTAACATTTCACCGTTTTCATCGCCTCTATCGAGTTTCCAGGGTCAAGTTGTACCAATTCAGACAGCCAATGGTAGCCCGCAATTTCCGCAGTACAAAGGCGCCAGTATAGAAGCTTACCCTATTACGAATAACGTTCCTAAAGTGCAAGGCAATTACGAATCCCTTTATAATCAACCACAATTGCACTTTGACAAGGAGCGTAATGATAATGTGCAGACTGTTAATGTGCGACAAAATACCGCTCATCCTCCTGTCGGAACGCAAGGCATTCTGAATGACGCTGAGATTATCAATACGAAAAATCCAGAGCCACATACACCCCAACCTGATGATGACGACGAAACTAGAGATGATGAAAGTGTGTATTATCTTCTAATTTGTGTATTCAAAGTAAAAGAACTTAGTTAAAATATTAATTTATGTGATATATTATATTAAAAAGTACACATTTTTAATTTTTCTAAAATTATAAAATGAATATTAAATTATTAAAAATTATTTACATCCATATACTGCAGATTTTATTATATTTTATTTAGATGATAAACTAATGTTTTTATTAAATTCTAATTTGAAATAATAAAACAAGCTTAAAATATTTATACTAGAAATATTATTTTTAGGATATCAAAATTCGGATAAGGAGTACGATAGTTCCGAAGAGGACGATGTTGAACGTCAACCAGGAAAACATTTCAAAGCATCACCAACGGAAAGTGACTTCAAACCTTCAACGTCTTACCCTTTCAAAGAGTACGACGAGAAATTTGGAAAGCATAGAACGTACTCTGATGACGATGATTTTGAGGATAAACCATTTTCCAGCTATAAGAATTATTCATCAGACGACGACGAAGAAGAAGAAGAAGATTCACCATCAGAATATCATAGTGAATACACTGAATCTTCAAAACCATCGCATGACTCGTTCGGAGAGGAGGATGAGGAAGAAGAGGAGGAAGAAGAAAGCCGTAAACAGGAGAAACGCAAGGAAGCCAATGAAGATTCTTCCGAAGTGCAACCTTCAAGACGATCCAAATACTACCAAAAAGATTTTGAGCAAGAATTCGAAGAATCTTATAAAGAAGAGCTACCGAAAGAAGGTATATAGAAACTGACAAACATATACCTCTGGTACATGTCTAGAATTTATATTAGTTTTATCTAAAATTTTTCAACAAGCGTTATGTATTGTATATTGTTGAACAATTTCGTTTAGTAACTTTATCTTCTATTCTATTGAAAAGAATTTTAAAATAATAAACTCTTTTAGATAATATGATATTATATAAACACACAAAGTATGCAGAAAATAAGTTATTTTTAACCTATAGAGATTTTTACATAAAACTATATTTTTCTTAATTAAAGTAAATCAATAATGGAAATATTAAATTAATATTTTTAATTACAGAATATGTGCACGTGAAAGAAGTGCCAGACATAGATAGTTATATTGATTCTTCTAAACGGCAACAAAGAAATAAATCTCGCGTAAAGCAAGAACAATCCAAAGAGTCGAAGAATCAAGAATCCCATAATTTCCGAAAAAATCGTAAGGTACCAAAGACGGATTATAGAGACAGCACCGCTTATGGTTCTGACATATCCACTAAAACGTCGCCCAAAGTGATCTACCAGGAGTTTTTTGGATACAAACAACCTAAAACTGAAAAATATTCTAAACACGCAAAAACTGAGAAGTTCTCATTCACTAAGAAATCACCGAAAAAAAATGACTATCTTCGTACTGCTAAGTATTACAAATTTAACAATCCCAAGACTGAAAGCGAACACAACTCCGAAGACAAAGATCCGTATACGAATTCTTCTGTGAATGATCAAAAATTGAAGAAAAACTCATCTAAGAAAACGATTCCTAGATCGAATGTGAAACAATTGTCAGATTCTGGCGACGGAATTTCTTTTTATGAACCAAGTATATTGAGCGGCCGAGTGCGTTCTCCCACAAATGCAGAAATTTTTCGCGATCTGACGGGAATTTGAACAATTAAGTAAATATTAAGTTAAGAAACATATTACGTGTGCATATTCTCAAATTCCCTCGTAAAATCTCGACATCATGTGTACGAAAATTTGAATTTTTCCCTGCAGCTTTCTTAGAAGAAAGTAAGAATTATGCACATTTACGTTCGTTATTATTACATCCTATTTTTATTATCTATTATGTAATATTATAAAATAACACAATATAGATTCTATATATTACTTATTAAGTTTTTGTTCTGTTTT